GCGGCTAACTAAAAACTGAAGAGGTATACTTATGTGTTGGTAAATTATATATTGGTAAAATGTGTTGAATATAACATACCTATTTACAACTTGTATATCGATTTCAAATAGGCGTTTGATGGAGTAGATCGACAAAATATGTTAAAGCAACTATCTATGCTAGGGATACCCAATAAGTTGGTTAAACTTATACGAATGACTCTGGAGGGTTTCATAGCTATGGTGAGAATAGATAGAGATATGACGCAGGCATTTGATATTGAAAATGGAGTGAGACAAGGTGATGTCTTATCAACAACACTTTTTAATCTAACTTTAGAAGCTGTTGTTAGAAAACTGGATATAAACGGATGTATTAATACAAGATCAATACAAATATGCGCGTATGTGGATGATATTGTTCTGAAGCTATTTTCTTGTGGCATTGTAAATTAATTACTATTTAACTGTCAATAAAATTGAAAACTGAAACTGAAATTGAAACGTCAATAAACGTATTTTTATCTTTAATTTTGGCTTATGTGGATGATCTTGCCATAATAAGCCGCAATAAAAGGGTATTAAGCGAAAAAGTTATAGAACTGAAACGAGAAGCTGCTACGTTTGGTCTATATATAAATGAAGGCAAAACAAAATATATGGAGTTCACAAAAACGAATTAACATGAGAATCTGAAAGTAGACAACAACAACATCAGTCAAAAAAGACATATGAAAACAAAAGACCTATGAAAAGTAAGTTACTGAATCGTAAGTCTAAGTTTAGAATTTATAAAACAGTAATTAGACCAGTGGTCACATATTGATGTAAAACGTGGACCCTCTCAACCACTGATGAAAATCAACTGAGAACATTTGAGCGCAAAATACTAAGAAAGATATTTGGACCAACCCAATGCAGCGATGGTTCGTGGACAATTAAAATGAACCACGAGCTGGATGAACTAAGGCAGAGCGCAGATATTGTTAGAGTTGTAAAGTCACGAAGACTAAACTGGCTTGGTCACCTAAAAAGAATGCCAGATAATCGAGCTGTAAAAGTAGTCCAGAGATGGAAGCCCCAAGGAAACAGAACAAAAGGAAGGCCCCGTAAGAGATGAATAGACGACGTACAGAGGGATCTGAAAACCATAAACATAAGGCAGTGGCGAAGAAAAGTATCCAACAGGGCAGAATGGAAGAACATTTTTAAACAGGCCAAGACTCACAAAGGTAGCACCATTAGAAGAAGACCAGTAAAAAAATAAGAATTTAAAAGTCTAGTTGTCATCTTCATCAATTAGCCTATTGATGAACGTAGGCCTCCCGTAAAATTTTCCACCTATTTCTATTTTAAGCTTCTTGCATCCAGTTGGTGGTGATGCGCTTGATACCATCCGTCCATCTAGTCGGTGGTTGTCCTCTGCTTCGATATGCATCTTGCCTTGGTCGCCATTCCAGAATCTTTCTGGTCCATCTATCATACGTTAATCTGGCAACATGTCCGGTCCAAGCCCATTTAGCCATGGGTATTTTTTCAACTGCATCTGTGACTCCTGTTCCTCTTCTTATTTCTAGGTTTGGTACTTTATCTCTGATAGTAATACCTAATATTGATCTTTCCATAGCGCGTTGTGTAACTCTTATTTTATCTATTGTTCTTTTTGTCAGAGTCAGTGTTTCTGTACCATATGTAAGAACCTGTAAAACGCACTGGTAAAAAACCTTTCATTTTAGACAAACGGGGATACTAGACTTGAAAATGTTATTCAATCTACCAAAGGCAGCCCATGTGAGACCTATCCTTCTTTGTATTTCAGTTGTCTCATTATCTCGGCTTAAGCTAATCTTATGGCCTAGATATTTGTAAGCTATTACTTGGTCGATGCTATGGCTCTCAATCAGAATTTTACCGCTAACTACAAGGTTGGTCATAAATTTTGTCTTTGAGGTGTTAATTTTAAGACCAATTCTTTTTGACACTTTATAGAGCGTGTGCAGCATTATCAACTCTATCAGATATTAAAACGATATCATCGGCAAATCTTAGGTGGTTCAGATCTTCCCCATTTATATTAATTCCCATGTTATGCTCTCGTTCCATTTGCTTGAACATATATTCAAGAACAGCTGTAAACAATTTAGGGGAGATAGTATCACCCTGTCTAATTCCACGTTCTATTCGAAACTTCTTGGTATCTTCATCAAGTTTCAGTTTCGTAAATACTTTTAATTACGGCGATATATCGGTAGTCAATGCGGCAGTGAGCCAATGCTCGAAGCATTTTATGATGATCTATAGTATCGAACTCCTTTTCATAATATACGAATATAAGAAAGATAGGCTTGTTATACTCTGTACACATTTCTATTAGAATCTTAATATGCTTTAATTGGTAATGAACGTTTTATTAAGCACAATTACTGCATTGTTACGTTTTTGTACTATTAATTTTACCAGTGAGTTTAATATACTTTTTATTTAGATGTTAAGGGGATTGGGAGCGAAAACAAGTCCCAAAGAAGTCTTGTAAATGGTTTCTTAAACGACGAAAAATATTAAACATCTTAAGGACGTATTGGCGAACGAATCTCTAAAGAAACATATCAATAGCTTCAGTAGTAAGTACTCTATCTGGTAAACCACAGACAATATGAAAAGAACGTTTATGCTAACGCCTCTTAAGAGAGGAGAAGACAAAAATAGGGCGGGAGATAGTGAAAAGAGAAATTAATATGCGAGAATAATCTGACAAATATCTTTTTTCCAAATATTATTCGATAAGATAAAATAAAAATGTATCTAACTTCTCCTTAAAGGTTAAAAATGGAATTAATAACATTAACCCAGAAAAGACTCTCGGTGTCTCATAATTGGTCAGATACTTATATGACTCTCCAAAAAGCGTTGACAGTAAAATCATAAACAGCAGAATAACATAACAGGAAATGCCACAATAAGTATTTAAAGACCCTCATATTGACCCAGACCATTTTCTAGTAGTTACTTTTACTGGTAATTTTCTAGTATTTACTAGTGGTGGAAGTATTTACAAAGTTTATTTCTAGGCATGCCTAAAATAGTCGATGCCACCATTTACTAGATCTTCTGTCCAAACCGCAGCATTGCATTAGTTGGTCGTGATGGTCTACACTACCACGCATAAATTCGTTATTATTTGGGGTGCTGGGATGTTGATATTTTTGCCATCACGTTGTTTTTATTTCAATGTTGTTGATTTACTTCCGCGAAAATTGGAAGCAGTGGTGACTATAGGATTATCCTTCCACTTAAAAAAGGAAATCCCTGTATTAGAAATACGGTAGTCAAAGTTACCTCTAGTAAGTTTTTTTATCTTCGAGCAGCTTTTTAGGAAGATACTTTCTATTGGCTCGGATCGTACTACAGACTAAAAAGTAGTTTCAGCTTTGTTTTTCCGGTAGTTTTATAGTAATATAAAAGTTATAAAAAAAATATGTTTTCCTCAGTCTACTTCTGTCAAAGGTAAAATAACTTGTTCACCTAAATTATATTTAGAGTATTTCTCTTGAATTTTTTCGTTTTTGCCTTGATATACTTGAATTTTTTTTACAAAGCCATTTGCGTCAGAGTAACACCAGAGCTTATACCCTCTTTTTATCGATTCCATCGGATTATATTGTTTAATAGATAACCGGTCTTTAAATTTTACAATTGACTGACCGACACGCATTTTCTGTCCACCATAATAATTACGAAATTGAAAATTTAGACAATACATATTCCTTGGCATAGTTTCTGCAACAAATGAAACAGATAAATTTTCTTGACTTGACCAATTATTTCAGACTCTAGGAACTATATGGTAGCCCAATAAAAAGTTTATGCCGATAAATGATAAGAGTTCTTTCTTGAACATATTTAGTTGTTTTCCCTTTTGTGTGGCATAAAGGTTACTTTCTATCTAAAAGCTTATCAAAAATATCTAAAGCGGTCTCACATTCTCTAAAATGAACTTCTTCCCAAATACAGGCAGCTTCCGTACATTGAGGAATTTTTATGGTTTTTTAAATTTACTCCATTTTACTCCAAAACTTACTTATCCTGCCATTTTTTATAAGTAAAACACTGTAGACGTTATTTCAACGATAAAAAATACACTTTGAAGGAAGCACTATAGACAGCCCTGACTACCATAACAATACTTACAAACAAAAATGAAGAATTCGCAATGCACAACACACATCGCATGACAGTAACTAAAACCAATAAAATCGCGTTGTTCAAGGCTAAAATGCTTTTTAAGCAGTATATTGTAGCTAGAGTCCAATGTACCGCTGGGAAATAATCGCTTAAAGCTAGTCAGAGTAGTTTTAATATAAAATAAAGGAAGTGGTACTTACGTGTAGGTACCGATGGGATTTAAAGGTCGACAAATTATAATTTCGTTTGGGATTGAAAGGGTTAAACCCAAACAAAATAAGTATGATTGAATAGGTATATTCAATAACTTTCAAACGAGATATCACTTGCCATAAGGTCCTATTTAAAATTATCGGTTACAGAGGGTTTTTAACCTTGGTTTTTAACCTTATCCATCACTACTGTTATGACTAGTTAAGAAGCCTACGTCCATTTATTTCCTCCTTTTAGATTTAACTATTATAAGTATAACCGTTAAAATGATACGAGGGGGGAGAGGGGACTTTTGACTAGCACTGAATAACATAAACAATAATTGATTGATTGATTTAGACAAACAATTTAATATTTTTTTGTGTCAATGTCAATATATTAGAGATTATGTTTTTTCAGAATCTATATTTTATCAATCAATATTATTCAAAATGAAATATAATGAGATCTATGTACTTATATTGATGTACTTGTAGTTGTTCTATTTTTTTGTAATATTACCACATGCTTCAGTTCTAAATCTAAAATGTGTAGCCTGATTGTCAGAGAATTTTGTAGCGTTCGAATTTTAATAAAGTATCATAACTAAATATTGATATAACAAAAGTTGATTAAAATATTTTTAGGTTATAATGATACCGTGAATCCTTTGGGTGTTGCTTATTATAAGAAGCTAATAGCAGAGCTGAAAGCCAATAACATCGAACCTCTTGTAACAATGATCCATATAGATATTCCTGAAAGTCTGATTGCAATTGGAGGAATTTGGAATGATAAATTTCCATATTGGTTCGAAGATTACGCTAGAGTACTTTTTAATGAATTTGGAAATGATGTTAAATATTGGTTTACAATTAATGAACCACATCCACTATGTATGCATGCCCAGGCTGATATGGCCTATTTTTGCGCAGCTAATCTGATTAGAGGACATGCCATGGTTTGGCATCTCTATGACAGAGAATACAGAGAAAAACAAAATGGTAAGTTTATATTATTTATTAAAAGGGAAAATATCACCAAAAATTTTTTTAAAAATAATTTTAATAGGTGAAAGTTTCCGAGGAAAGTTTTAGCAGTCAGTGTGCCGCTCATGCTCGCTATTTGAGTCAATGTAGGACCTTCTTTAATATTTGAAAACATGGTCTTTACAAGGCTATGCCGTTCCTCTTTCTTAGTTTCATTGTTTGTTTTTCTTTAATTTTATTTATTATCTCTGACTTTAGTATTCCTCGTTCCTAATAAGCAATCTGCAGATCTATGTCCCGAAGCTCGCTGTTGTGTCCTTTAAAACACCTGACTACCGGATGCAAAATCAACTTACTTGCTCATGGAATTCTTCATTTATCTTTTAGTTTTGAGACTAAACTTTCCCTTGGGATATATTTATAGTACTCACACTACTACCAAACTTCTGGACATTTCGGTCGTCCCCACCAGGCCATTGTAATAAAAATAGTCTCCATTTATACCTCTAGTGCGGCTTTTGAGATTATATCAGGGTAGTCTGCTATCTGTTTGGCCTACGATATACAAGGCAAGGCTAGGCCATTCATAATCATTCAACCTCAAAAGTCCTGAACTACTGAACATAGCCGTCTTCCTCGTGTTTCCAATCCCGTCTATCTTTCGCTACTTTCATCCAGTTTTATTTTTTTTCTTAAATCGTCAGCCCATTGTGTAAGTGGCCGATCAACGCTTCTCTTGTCTTCTCTTGGTCTCCATTCCAATTACCTCTTTGTCCATCCTCTATCTCTATTTTAGTCTGGCTATCCTTTCGATGATGTCAGTCACCTTGGTTGTTCTCATGACCTCTTCGTTTTTTATTTCTCTTTGTCTCGCAGAGTTATTTCTAACATGGATCGCTTTATTCTTCTCTGCGTGATTCTTAGTTTGGTAGCCGAGACTTTTGCCAAAGTTGGTGTTTCTGCTCCGTTTGTCAACACTGGTAGAACGCATTGATCAAATACTTTTTTCTTCAATCATGTGGGCAGCTCACTTTAAAAAGTTTCTCTCAATTTTCCATATGCTGCACATCCAAACCCAATTCTTCTCTTCAGTTTAAGGGTCTGATTATCTCTGTCAATCATAATTTCATGTCCTTTCATGTCAACCATAATTTCCCATTTATACTTATCTACTTCTTCTTCTTCTTCTTTGTTCTTGTATGTAGGTTTAAAGCCTGTTTCTTCTTCAATATTAGATTCCTAAATTGTTTTAATTATCGCATCATCTTTTTCTTGATTTACCAATACTTCTTCGTCAATTTGGTAACTTATTTCGTGCTATTCGTACTATCATATCTTCTGCCATTCTACTAATGTGTCCGTTCCACTCCTGTTTCCGTTTTGTCACCCATCCATTATGGTTTTTGATGTTTCAGGTCTTGTCTCCGCCGCATATGTGAATATAGGTCTAATTGCTGCTTTATAAATTCTTGTTTTTGTGTATTGTTTTAGGTGTTTGTTCTTCCAGGATGTGTCATTAAGAGATTCCGCCGCTTTACTTGCTTTTAAGCTTTGTTGTCGTACTTCTTCTTCAACATCTCCGTAACTAGTTATATCTATTCCCAGATATCTAAACCTTGCTTCCTGCTTTATTATTTTTCCCTCAATTTTGATTTTACATCGTAGTAGATATCTAAATGTTGTTATACAGTTGGTTTTTTCTGCTGATATCATATTGTATTTTTTGGCTATTGTACTGAAGATGTGTGTCAATTTTTGGAACTTGTCTTCTGTTTCGGCGATTAATGCGGCGTCGTCTGCATAACATAATATTTGGATTTCTTTATTCCCCATTCTGTATTCGTGACCTTTACGTACTGCTTGAATTATTTCGTCCATTATTATGTTAAAGAGAAGTGGTCTTAACAAGTCACCCTGTCTGACTCCGCTTTGTACTGGTATACACTGTGTTAGTTTTCCATTTATCTTTGCCTATAATCGATTAAGTAAGTAGATGTTTTCAAAGGCGTGTATAATAATATTAATTGGTATGATTCTTTTATATAGTACGTGTAAAACGTCGTCGACTTGGGTGCGATCGAAAGCCTTTGTCAGGTTTATAAAATATAGATAAGCTGGTTTATTGTACTCAATGGCCTTTTTTGTGATTTGTCCTATAATTATCTACGAGTTCTACTATTTTATTCTATCAATACTGATGTTCTGGTTGGGTACCAAATTTGTCAGTGTTTTTGTTTTCGAAATATTTATATTTAAACCTACATTTTCTGTAGCCACATCGAATTCCTATACCATTTTTATTGCCATTCCTAAGTCCTCAGCTATTATGACTATATCATCAGCAAAACTTAAGTTGTTCCCAGTTTGTAGATATTCTCAGTTTATTTTTATTTTAGGCTAGGCCTTTTCTGAAGGTTCTCGATAATAACAGCGAAAAGCTCTTTACCTTGAGCCATGGCTTGAGTCCATGCCTATCCAGTCTCTTACATTCTTCACCCACTAGCATTTTTTCTTTCGAGACCTCCTTTTTCTTTCACTTTCTCTTCCATTATGAGCCGTAGGAAGTTGTATTTTTTTCTCCATTAATATGTCCTAGATAACTGGTTTTTTGTTTTTTTACAATATTGAGAAGTTCTTCCTTAGTTTCCATTCTTCTCACCACCCTATTGTTGGTCACGTGCTATTTTCAAGAGATCTTCAACATACTTCAAAAACTCACATCTCAAAGGCTTCTATTGAAGTCTGATACTTGTAATTCTACGTTTACATTCAGTAGAAAAGTATGGAATGAATGAATGTCTTTAAACATCGGCATCGAATATCCATTAATAAGGTAGAATTTATTATGTATAACAGCCAATACTTTTGTTTTATTTGTATTTATTTTAATCTCCAAAGTATTTTTTTCCCTGATTATATCATTCAGTTAAAAGCTAAAGTCAATGTAAGCCCTCAGCAGTTTTTGCAATAATGACAGTGTCGCCTGCGTATCGTAACTTGTTTTTGTATTCGTTGCTTATTTTTATTTCTTCATAAATATTTGGGGGCATTTTCGGAACATATATTGAATAATAGCGGAGAAAGTACACAACCTTGAGGAATTTCTCTTTTTATTGCCATTTCTCTTGTCACGCAATCGTCTATTTTGATCGATGTCCTTTGATCTCAATATAGGTTTTCAATAAAAGCCACAGTATTAGGTCCATGCCACGTTTTGTTAGGGTTTCTATGTTTTACTTGATCAAACGCTGTTTCGTAACCAATAAAACAAAAAAACACGTCTTTCCGTTGATCTCGGCATTTTTGTAGTGGTATCTGGAGGCCATATAATGCCTCCTTCGTAAAAAGCTTCGTACGAAATCCAAATTGATTGTCGCTGAATTTCTCCTAGCGTTCTCTGTATATGCATTGATGTACAACTATTAGTAGAATTTGCAGAATGTAGCTCATCAGACTAATAATTAATCTGAACTGTGAGCTTCTATTTGCTTTATTTTTCTAGGGTGTGTGTATAAATGACAATCTAAGCCAGCATTTTCAGAAGATTTTGACGGTATATATTGTGTTCAGTAGTGTTGAAGTTTGAAGATCTTCCTTATCGATAAGTTTTATTGTATTTATTGCTTTTGTAACTTCTGATGTTAATATATCTTCTTCTTCTTCTTTTGGCATCATAACCCTGGATGGGTCGTTACCTGTCTGGCTATGTCCTTCCATTCAGATCTCTCTTGTGCCCTTCTTCTCCATTGTCTTATGTTCATTGTTTTCAGGTCGTCTTCAAACCGTCTCGTTCTGGGCCTTCCTTTTTTTCGCCTTCCTATGGACTTCCATTGTAACATTTTCTTTGTTGTTCTTGCATCGTTTTGTCTCTGCACATGTCCCAGCCATGACAGTCTTTGACTTTTCACAAATCTTACAATGTCATAACCTTCATTTAACTCATTAATTTCGTTAATATATCAAGTAGTTTTTATAAACTGTATTTATTTGTGATACTTCCCACTAAACACTACATAAAGTTGTAGTGAAATTTATTCATATTTATGACTTTGTCGTTCTTTTTGTATGCACTAAAGTGGTCACATTTTCTTAGTAAATCCCCCAGTTCCCCATATCTGCTGTTCATCTATGCTTCTTTCGCTTTCCTGATTGTTTTTCTGATTATTCTGCGAATTTCTATGCATATCACTTTAATTTGATTTTTGTAAGATCTTCGTATATTCATTAGTTGTAGGATTTCTTTTATCATTCATATATTTTTTGTATTTTTTACGTTATCTTGTATGTGTTCTTTTTTTATGGTTGTGACTGTTGTTTTGCAAGTATGCCGGTCTCTTTTACTTCCTTCGATGTTTCCCTAAATTTTTTTCTGAGTGTATGATTGAGTATTTTCTCTATTTCTGCGTGCACTTCCATATGTTTAAGTTTCTCGAGATTAGGTTAACTCTTTTTATTGTGTTTGATTTTCTTTAGTCTAATTGCGATTCTACCGACAACAGGATTATGGTTTTAACCGATATCAGATCTGGGATATGTTTTAAGTTCACTGAATCCATTTCTTAATGTTAAACACACAGATGCTCTTAAGAAAAGTAGACGACAGAGACGAATTTGCAGTGGGTATAGCCAACCTTCATTAGTGGAGACGGCACTAGAAGAAGAAGAAGAATCCATTTCTATAACTCTTGTCAATTAGTATATAATAAATCGGGTTTTTTTATCAAATTATTTTAATTCTCCCCAGATGCTTTTCATGTATGATGCTACTAAGGAATATAACTTTTAGGTAAAGTGTCAATTGTCCTTAGTTCCCGTTGGTCGGAACCAGAATCAAATAGCGCAGATGATATTATTGCAGCAGAGACAGCAAGACAATTTACCGTAAGTAAATTTTTGTTTAAATCTATATTACAATATTTAACCATCAAATTAAATCTATAATTTTTTTAAGCAATTCTCCGTATTCGGATTGCCGTATATAGGCCTCTCCTAATTCTCGCCATTCATCACTGTTGTTTGTAAGACGTTTCCACATTGGTCCTATAGTTCTTTTATATCATCGCTTCAGAGCATTTGCGGTTTTCCTCGTGGTATTTTGGCTTCCTTTGCGAAGTCTCCATCAGCTGTTTGGCATCAGCCTTATCAACGCCTTAAGATTTCGGTTCACCTTCTCTACTGTCTTTTGGATGTATACTCCGAACCTTAGTCTTTCCGACAACCAGACTCCCAGATACTTAATTGATTTAACCGGTGCAACCTCCACATCTTCCACTATAAAGCAAAAAGGGGATTTTCCCCGGGTCCCTTTGAGAACTAACACCTTCGTTTTCTGAGGAGCTAGCTGTAGATCATTCTGTCTGTTCCACCTACTAATGCGACGCAGTGTTGTATTAGCCGCATTAGCAATGTCCGTTTTCTGACTCGCCTTCGCAGCCAGTGCGAGATTCTCGGCATAAGCTACAAGAGTGCATCCCCTTGGCATCTGTAGCCTCAACACTACGTCGTACAGGACATTCCACAGAATGAAACCTAGTACTGAACCCTGCGGAACAACCTGCGATAAAGTGATCCTGGTATCTTTTTCTCTCATGGACCTGTCAGCAAAGTATCTGTCAATTACGTTAAACAGATACTCACTAACGCCCAATTCTCTCAGCCTGGACATAATTTTTTCCCTTGAAGCCATATTAAAGGCATTCTTGACATTAAGCAGGATGAGAGCTACCCATCTCTTTGTATTCTGCGTAACTAAAGAGGTGACTTCTGTTACCGCATCTATAGTGGACTTTTTGGCTCTAAAACTATATTGGCGGTCGCTCAGCGCATGCTTTTCTTCTAGCTGTTGTTCAAGCCGTTTGGTTAGCAATCTCAGAAAAACCTGCGGGTATTTTAGTGCGGCGAACCTTACTGTAATTGTCATGACTCCATCTATGCCAGGTGTTTTTCGGATCTTCATCCCTCCAGCAGCCTCGTCGAGTTCCAACTCAGTGAAAGGTTCCGCATCCACGAAACCAATAACCCTTTCACGCCTATTCTCCACCTGAGCAAATAGTTCCCGAATTAAACTGAGTTTCTCGTCCTCAGGCAGGGGGTTGGGTATCTTTTTCCCCTACAATTCCGTACAGACAATCTTGAAGCCCTGTCCCCAGATATCCCTTTCGAGATCCTAAAGTAGGTAATAACCTTTCTTTCTTAGATCGTCTTATCTCATTTCTCTATTCATTCTGCATTCGCTTTAATTTATTTATTCTATATATATATATATATATATATATATATATATATATATATATACAGCTACCCTCCACGCGTTTCACCCAAACAAACATAAGGCCAATAATCTGAAAGGAACCGTTTTCTCATGGAACTTGTACTTAGTAACGGGCTTCTAACTCTTCTGACACTCCAGCTTTACAGTGGTCACGCCCTGTCCTGGAGGACGGCAGCTCGCAACTCCCACCAAAAAATACCACCCTTGAAGAAGCAGAAAACTTAAACAAGGTTAAAACTTCGATTCCTATACATATATATATATATATATATATATATATATATATATATATATATATATATATAGATTATATTGGTTATATTATATATACCATGTGGTCCATATGTATGGAATAAATTCATTTTTAGCGTTATTATGTACTATGTGAAAAAAACCTGAAACAGGTCGATTTTTTATTCTTAAATTGACAATTTACAGTATAAAAATAATATCCCCCTCCAGCAACCACTTTGAATTATAAGCACCCCCCCTGTCGAAAATTTTAAATAGCAAAGGGGGTCGTGAGGCATCTTGTTAGAATGGGATTTTAGTCCTCTGTTCAGCAATGTAAAGTTTTTTGAGTCTGTGCAATTATAACTTACAAAATTATTTTTTACAATAATAAATTAAATGTTCAACTTGACCACTATTATTCACTTCTTGACAATATCCGAGGCGATTTTGGAATTCTCATACAACATTTTGTATGACCCTGGGGGTTATTTTGTTAATTTCTTCCGTTATCCTAACTTTTGTATCAGCAATATTGCCTGGTCTACTAAAATATACTTTAAAAAAATCAGGTATTTTCGTATCTGTTCTGCTAAACATTGGGGAAAAAACTTTGAAGATAATAAAATATTAGTCAAAAAGCCAAATAAACATTTGTTATGAATCTAGTAGACTGCTGTCATTTGGGTATTTAAGGTTACTAGAAGACGTGAATTATGGCTCATTTGTCTGAGACTAAAAGAATAGACATTTTAACTATGATTGATTGTGGTAAAAAAACAAGAGCTCAAAAGGAGGTTTGTGAAATGTTAATAATGAATACCCTGGTCAACAAGTTTACTGGACCAATTGGCCAATGTTATACTGGACATGTAAAAAATATTGAAAAACCAGATAAAAATAATAAATTTATTGATGAAAAAAAGTTAGATGTATGTACTTCTAGAAATTGAGAAAAATCCGCATAAGACATCTCGAGGACTTGCCACCATCAATGATGTAAGTAAATCATCTATTTGAGAGTTTTACATAAAAAAATACCACCTTTACAGGTTCAGTTGGTTCAGGAGTTAAATAAAGATGATCCTGATAGAAGGCAAGAATTCTGTGAAATGATGATGGACAGAATGAACGCAGATTTGCAGTTCATAAACAAAATAGTGTTTTTCTGCTTAAGCGACGTTTCATTTAAACGGAACGGTTAACAAACAGAACTGTAGATATTGGAGCAGAGAAAATCCTCACTGAGTGTGTGAGACTCATACGCAATATCCTAAAAAATTAACGACTGGGCTGGTATTATTAACAATAAAATTATTGGTCCTTATTTTTTTGAGGGTGCAGTTGATAATGAGGTTTATCTAGATTTTTTGATTAACTTTTTAGTGCCCACATTAGGAAGATTTTTTCCTAATGTTAATCATCCAAATTAGATAGATGGACCTTTTTACTACCAACAAGGTGGAGCTCTACCGCATTTTGCACTTATAATTAAAAATTATTTAAACGAGGTTTTTTCCAATAGGTGGATTTGAAGACGTTGAACAATCGAATGGCCGGCTAGATCCCCCGATTTGACTCCTCTCGATTACTTCTTATGGGGTTACTTAAAATCTAAAGTATAATTTACTAGACCAAACAGTATTGCTGACTGAAAAGTTGGAATTAAGTATGAGAATTCCAAAATCGCGTTTGGTATTGTCAAAAAGTGAATAGTGGTCATTTTGAACATTTAATTTAATTGTAAGGTACATTGAAAAATACATTCTAAATATTATGTAACATTATTATCTTCATTTAACCTAAAGTTTTGTGGTAAAGACATTATCAAAGTTTTACATTTTGAAAATCAATTTTCTAGGTTATTATTGAACCAAACTTAAAAAACTTAATATTACTGAATAGAGGAATAAAATCCCTTTTTAACAAGGTGCTACATGACCCCCTTTGCTATTTAAAATTTTCGAGGGGGTGCTTATAATTCAAAGGGGGTGCTGAAGGGGAATATTATTTTCATACTGTAAATTGTGAATTTAAGAATAAAAATCGACCTGTTTCAGGTTTTTTTCACATAGTACTTAATAACGCTAAAAATGAATTTATTCCATACATATGGACCGCATGGTATATTTAGATTATATTGGTTATATTATTTTTTTCTTTTTTTATTTGTATTCTTCAGTTTCTTAAAAATATTGGTAAAATGTAAATTAAACTGTTTCTTTTAAATAATTAGTAATTTTAATGTTCAAAGTCTACATTTAAATAATTACAACTTAAATGAAATAAATCAATAAATAATCATTGTCATTAATTGTACAAATTATTACAAAATTATATAATTTTCACTTAACTTTACTTTTCAAATAATTTTTGTGTCCAAATTTTAGCTAACACTATTTGTTAAACGTATACAAATTTATACCGTGTATATCGGCCAAATAAAATAAATTCGATTGCAAACGAATGCAAGATCGACTAATCGCTGGCCCATGGTAATATATGCAATATTGAATATCGCCGGCATAAATTAATTTACAATATACAAGTGTAATTCTGCTCGAACAGACCAACGCATACTACTTAGAAGAACATTTTTAGAGACAATGGGTATTCAACTGCTTGAACCACATGCAAGACGTAGAGCAATTGCAACAAACCTGCCAAGGATGATAAGTATGCGACTCAGAGAAATGTTTGATATCACATTGAATGTACAGAATATTAAAAAATCTAATGGTCGTTGTTTTTACTGTGGAAGCAAAAAAAAGTCGAAAAACAATGTACAGTTGTTACTCATGCAATAAATTTATGTGCTTAGAATTTATGTACATAAAGGGTATATGTATGGAATGTTCAGAAAAAGATTGACTTTTTTTAAGTTTAAAGTTACTTCGTATTATTAGAGTTGCTTAAGTGTACTTATTATAAGTGGATAATTTCATTTTTAGTTTAAAAATAACTCAGCAAATTTTTTGTTTATATTATGATTTTAGAGTTTTTTTCTCACTTTTTAGAATAGTTGCTTGTTTTTGTTAAGGGATTATTTTTGTCAAAATAAATGTTTATAAATATAATGGCAGGGTGACTCGTTAAGCCCACTTCACTTTAATATAATAATGGACGAAATAATACAAGCAGTACATAAAGGTCAAGGCTACAGAATGGAGAACAAAGAAATCCAAATATTATGTTCTACAGACGACGCCGCATTAATCGCTGAGAAGACGAGCTCCAAAGATTAACACACATCTTCAATACAACAGTCGATAAATACAATATGATTAAATCAGCAGAAAAAACCAAGTGTATGACAACATTTAAATACCCACTACGATGTAAAATCGAAATTGATGGGAAAATACTAAAGCAGGACGCAATGTTTAGCTATCTGGGAATAGATATAAGTAACTAGTTTTGGAGATGTTGAAGAAGAAGTATGACAACAAAACTCAAAAGCAAATAAAGCGGCGGGATCTCTTAATGACACAATTTTGAAGAACAAACACCTAAGACAAGACACAAAAACAAGAATCTATAAAGCAGCAGTTAAACCTACATTAACATACATGGCGGATACAAGAACTTAGACATCTTAAACAAGACGGCTACTCGAAACAACTGTGATAAAAATACTCCGACGAATATCAAGGAAAAGTCTGTTGGATAGAAAGAAAAGCGAAAACATAAGAAGAGCATGCAATATAGAAAACATAAATAGATGGGTGACAAAACGAAAACAGGAGTGGAACGAACACATTAGTAGAATGGCAGAGGATAGGATAGTACGAATAGTACGAGATAAGTCACCAAATGGACAAAGAAGTATTGGCAGACCAAGAAAAAGATGGTGCAACAATTTAAATAATTTAGGAGGTTAATGGTGAAGAAGAAACAAACTTTAAATCCTACATACAAGAAGGGAAAATAAGATGAAGAAGAAACTTTTGCTATTTGAAGATTTGCCATTTTATTTTCTTTGAGTGATCGAATAATCCTGGCATAGCAATAAAATTGCTAACATGGTACATTGGGGCTGGCTATGGACTAGTTTTATTATATAATGTAAACAAAAGTTTTCCAAGAAATGACACCTGATACGTTAATGAGAGTTTTTGAGGACATACGTTAATTACATTAGTTTTTGTTTTTTTGCAATAAGCTTTTTTTTAATTAATATATTTAAAAAAATAAATATACGTAGACGGTTGCATTTGGATTTAATTTGAGTCACTTACCATTCTCTAACACGTGTTTCTGGATTCACTCATCATCAGAGAGACTTGTAAGAAAACTCAAACCAAATTAAAAGGCACCTACTAGTCGGTGCGATTTGTTTTTGTTTGAGTCTATAATATATTTAATTTTAACATACTGTGATATTTATGGTTTTGTTTTTAGTGGGGATTATTTGCCCATCCATTGTACTATGGAGATTTTCCAGCTGTTGTAAAATCTCGTGTTAATATGAGAAGTCAATTAGAAGGTTTGAATCAATCGAGACTTGCAGAATTTAACCCTGCAGAAATTGAATTTATAAAAGGAACGACTGATTTCTTTTCCGCAAATATATATGCTACAGGCTTAGTAAGAGCAATAGATGAACCTGAAATTGGAACGCCTTCTATAGAAAAAGATATTGGGGTATATGCATATACAAATGATAGCATACAGGTAAATATACACATATTTTATTATATTCACTACATGCATCGCAAACTAGCACAGATTATTTTTAGTCAACTGTTAATTATAACGCACAACATGGCACAACCAGCGTAATTTACTATCAGTTAAAGTTGCATAAAATTTACTACTCATTCTTGTTCACTTTTTAATAGGTTATCTAAAACATCACTGAACAGTTTGCTATTTAAGTTTTTTTACTAGTTTACTAATAACAAATAAAACCAACGTTTGATATTTCTTTCGTATCTTCTTCTTTTTCTTTAAGTGCCGTGTGATTCAAGAACATTAGCGACCAGTCGCACGATTTTTATTTTGTCCGCAAAAGACCTCAATAGTTTTGTGGTGCTGAATAGAGCTATAACTTGTTTGTCGTCCAGGAAACTATTTTTTTTTAATTTCATATGAATAATTACATGTAGTAGCTCATATTTAAGATTTCTCAATACGTGGGGAAAGTACTCAAATTTTCTTTTTTTTAAGGTATTCTAATGTATTCAGAACCTCTGTTTTGTGTAGACGTTTTAAAACTTCTTCGCCACTCTGTCCATTCCCGATATCATTAATATTTTACTTCAAGTCCACATCTCGAAAACCTCAAATATTTTACATGTGGTTTCAATGAGAGTCCATGCGTCTATTTCATTTCCCCTTAAGGAAATTCTTAAAACTCTGTTAGCTAATATATTCTGCATCGTCTTAAATCATGTTCTGAATATATTTTGCTTTTAATTTTCTGATAAGTTTCCTTTTTCATTCACCCCAACAGCCCAAATATTTGTGTACTTGTACTCTCTCCATTGTTTTTCCATATATCCTAATGTCAGTTAAGTTGTTAGCTAGAGTCAGTATAACTGACAAAAGAGTCTGTAAATCATGTTTATCAATTGCTAGTAAAACTGCGTCATCAGGGTATCTTAAGTTGTTAATAAATATCCGTCGACAATTATACCTTCTGTCTTCTACAGCTGCTTTGAAATTATTTTTAGAGAAGCTATCGTATAAATTAAATAAACGCGAAGAGACAACACGAAGGACCATAGGTGCATGAAAAATATTTACAATAGTATGTTAGGTATCCATTATAATATTATTTGATTTGTATTTTTAATTTTTGTATTTTTTTTTCATAGAATGATCCATTGGGAAATAGAAAACTAGTAAATTGGCTTAAGAAAGAATATTTTGATCCTGAAATTTTAATTACCGAAAACGGAATACAAGATCAGACTGGCCAAGTGGACGATGGATATAGAACTGATTATTTGAAGGTAAGTTTTCATGCCAGTTTACTGTTTTTGATAATTTACTGTTTAGTATGTTAGTTTTTATAAGTACATTGCAGACTTTAGGAGTACATTTATCCTGGATGTACATTACGAACACACATTGAGACGTCTTTTTTAGTAGTTATAATCGTTTACTTGATTCAGCGTGTCCCATAACCTTTTTTTGAACATGTTTGATTTCTCAGTTCATTTAGAAGAAGGATAATATCCTTAATAATAGCAGGAAGAAAGGCCAGTGAGTGGGAATAGATGGTATGTGATTAATACGAACTAAGAATACTAAATGGATACTTTCTACACAAATTGATACAAAAATATCTCAAATAAAATCCCAGCTGCAAAAATTTAAAATCAATAATTAATTTTACAGACTAAAGAGATAAGAGTCGAATATACAAGGTCACTTAGCAAACCACACTGCTGAAGTTCTCAGTACCTACTATTTATGTCCAGATATGATTTCCTGTGAAGAATAGTAAATACACAACTACATCCAAATAGTGGATGTATATATATATATATATATATATATATATATATATATATATATATAATATGTATATATATATTTTATTTATTTGTTTTATTCTCTGTATTGCATCTACTGTAGATCTTCCCTCTGTGAATCCACATTGGTACTGTCCTACTGTCTTCTTTGTGATCTTTGATAACCTTTCATTTATTATTAATGTCAATATTTTTTATGTTGTATCTAGTAACGTTATTCCTTCATAATTTTCACAGATTTGTTGGTCTCCCTTTTTACGTACTGGTATGATCTGCCCTACCTCCCAGTCCCCTAGCATTTTCTATTCTTTCCACATATTTTTCAATAGTGCCAGTATTTTTCCTCGGAGTTTCCTTTCTCCGTATTTTATTAGTTCCATATTAATTCTATCTTTACCAGGATTTTATATTTTTGCTTCTCTGTATTACTTCATCCAATACCTCTAATATGGGTTCTTTTGAAATGCTTGTCTTGATGTACGCTTCATCTATATCGTATGCTTCTTCTTCGTGCAACGTTTCGTTCACGTTATGCATTTCTTCTCCTGTTGTTTCCTCCGTCACTAGCTCTCTGTAGTAGTCCCTCTATTGTCACTGGTCTAATTTCGACCTCGTAGATATGTCTGTGGGATCTGAATTTCACCCGAACGTTGTTTTTGATGGACAATCCTGTAAACAGTGGATAACGATACCCCTGTCATACACTCACAACGACTTATTGCCTCCGCCTTACATAATGTTTTTCTTATATACTCATACACATTAGACAGTTTTTTAGCTTCAGGTCCTAACCGTTTGCGAGGACTTTTCACATTTATACTCTTCTTGCTAGTACTAGCTTCTTTATTTTTATTTAATTAATTAAAATTTAACATAAAACTTATATCGTAATGGTGGTCTTACAGGTAAGACCAAAAGAATTGTACGTAATTGTTGTGAAGGGATTTTTTGGCCATTATGCCAGACTTTGTTAAATGCCTGGGAGAGGTCTTAGAAGATTACAGAGCAATATTTTTTGTTTTAAGTGATTGGCGTATTTGTTGGTAAACTTGATGGATATGTTCAGTGGTAGCGTGCTGTGACTTAAAGTCAAATTAGTGATGAGCTATTATTTGTTTGTTAGTTAAAATTGGCTCTATTCTAGATAACCGCAGTTTGTCCAATATTTTGGACATAAGAGGGAGCAGGATAATAGATCTGTAGGACTTTATTTTTTCCAAGGATTTTCCGGGTTTTAGAATTAATATTATTTGGACTAATATCTTTAAGATTCTTACGGTAAATAGGTCATATCCTGGAAACTTTTTAGGGTTAAGCTTACTGTACGCAAGAGAGATACCTCTAGGAATAATCAAACCATCGAAAATATCTACTAAAACAACACAATAAAAGTAAAAGTAGAAGAAGAACTAACCGACCCATTGAAGCTGACAAGGGGGCAAGACAGGGAGATTCCCTGAGTCCTCTATTGTTTAACCTGATTATGGTTAAAATAATAAAAAAAAGTATGAACTAAAAAGGATACCAAATGGGAGAAAAACAACTAAAAATAATCTGCTATGCAGACGACTTAATACTACTCTCTCAAAGTGAAGATGATTTACAACGTATGCTGCACCAATTTAATAAAACCGCCACAAGATTTAAAATGTTAATTTCCCCAAAAAAGACAAAATGCATGGTTACAACAGCAAATTTATTAAGATGTAAATTGGAGCTGGAAGGTCAGATAATAGAACAAGTGATGGAGTTTATATATCTAGGCATCACAATATCTAGCTACGAAAAGCTCGAAACCGAAGCAGGCTGCCTAAATAAAACAATATGAAGAAATAAAAAATATCGTTAAAAGAACGAAAGGTAGAATTTACAAAACAGTAATCAGACCAATAATGACATATGCAGCAGAAACAAGAACTGATACGGAGAGGACAAAAAGGATGTTAGAAAGAGCAGAAATGAAAACACTTAAAAATTAATGGTAAGACACTATGGGACAAAGCTATAAGTAAAGATATACGATGTAGATGCAAGGTGGAGAACATCAAGAATTGGGTAAGAAATAGAAGAGTAGAATGGAATGACATCAAATAGAGTAGTAAAGATGGCAAGAAATGGTTCCCCGATAGGAAAACGATCAGTAGAAATACCACGAAAACGACGGAACGACAACTTACTGGAGGCACATTGAAAAACAGACAGAGTCATGTGTATAAAAAGAAGAAGAAGAATTTAGTGTGAATAATATTATTGACTTTGTTCAATGTACATTTTTTTAGGAGTTTTACGTTAAGAGGGGATCCTAGATACATTTTGATTTAATTATTTATATTAATACGTTCAAAAATTTCGACTTTCTCTGTATTGCATTTTGCCCATGCGCCATCTTTAGTGTGAATTGACGGGTAGGATAATTGAGGACGTTGTATTTGCCTGGCTGCTTTCCAGCGTAAATACTCGGTAGATTCTGTAGGTCAAAGATGTCTGAGATAAAAATGGATATTATTGTTTTTGTGGTTATTTAACACTTTTAACTGTGCTGTAGCTCTACTCAGATTATTCTTGTCTTGTGGAGCTCTCGCCAGCTACCATCTACATCTTAATATTTGTTTCTCAATAATTTTGTTTGATTTTATTAGGTAGTTCATAAGTAAAGCGGTTTATTTTCTTGATTGTTGTTGATTCCCATGCAGATTCTTATATGGATTAATTAAGGTATTCTGTGACATTGCCAATTTACAGGTTTGTTTTTAGTGAGATATTAAAATTCTAATTTATTGATGCGTAATTCTCCGAATTGCTCCCAGTTTGTGGATTTTTTAGTTAATGAAGCAGATGGTGTTCTGTAAAGGATTTCTAAACTTACTTCTATTAAACCAACAGAATGGTCAGAAGACAGATCATAACAAGAAGAACTTCTCAAGTGGTTATTTGAAAAAACCCATGGTTACACCATAATCTACCAGATTTGGTATTTTTTTTATCGGTGGGCCAGTAGCTAGGTTCACCTGTAGATATGTTTTTAAGATTGTTATCTATACACATATAAAGTTGTCTTACTTTTGGAGAAATAAGTCTAGATACTCAGTGTATGTGTTTACCGTTATAGTCTCTGCCTGCCAACAGTCTGTTTTCAGGATATTCGAAGAACTGTGTGAATTGTTGAATGACTGTTATTATTAAGAACCCTTACCAATCTTCAATGGATATGCTGGTGGCTTGCAAATAGTCTTAAGTGGTTTTGCTATGCTAGTGATGCTTAATTGATTTCTTGATTATGCCGTGTGCACTGTCTGGATGATTGGTGGGTATGAAAGTGGGTTTCAGATATCAGCATTATGTCAATATTATTGTTGATTATGAAGCATTTGACCTCTTGGGTATGTTGAGTTAGCCCGTTGGCACTGCAGAGTGCTACTTTGAGAATCTTGGTCATTTAGATAGTGTAGCGATCACTGTAGTCAAAAGGTTTATCATCGTACTCATTTGTTTAATAAGTTCTTTCAGCATTTGTTTCAGTTGGAACATATGGTCTTTGATTTTGTGTGATATCTGGTTTTTTTGTTGCTGCGCACTGGTGCAGGAAGTTCCATTTGTTTGTTGTGCATGTTACCTAAGCATATGTAACGCTGGGTTGTATATATTGTTTAAGTTTTATATTGGTAAAGTTCACTTGCTTCGGACGAAGTGCCAATGCTCTCTGAAAATATCTTAAAAAGCACTCTTCAATTGTATAAAATTGTAAATCTTGATGGTTCACTACAAAAAAATATAAAATATAGAATGAAAAGAATATTCACAAAATCGTGCCATATTAGGTTTAGTAATAGAAGGAGAACCTGTAAATATTTACATTTAAACTTTGAAAAAATCGGTTGGTAGTTCAAATAATGATAAATCTTGCAGTCAAGAAGATATCCCGGCAGAAATAATTAAATAAAAATCGATGATCTAAACTTATTTAGATGTTGGCAAAAGCCTTTGAGACATTCCTGAATGGAAATCCAGTGCTGGTGAAAAGAAAAATATTTCATCCATGCACAAGAATTATGGTATGAATCTTATATACTAAAACGCTAAGCCCTTTTCTTGTCCACCACTTTACTCAAAAACCATATTAGATGATTAAAATATTTTTTCGGAATATTATTAGTATTACGTATGAGATGGTCAAGATATACTTTTGGTACAAAAATTTACTTCCGGTTTTGAGATGACCGGAAGTTAAAATTTACTTTACTTTAAGTTTTAGATCCCACAATGTATATATGGATCGAAAGGTCTCGTCGAGACGAATCTCAATATGTACTTTCGGTTGAGATCCGACACCGGAAGTGACCCGAAACGCACATAAAACGTCAAGATAGAGCAAATCTGACACCGGATTCGTGAACAGCATGCAAAATTAACTGGTAAATGATATCCATATCGACATTTGATGAACTAAATGATGAAAAAAAAATTTGACGAAATATTTCGTGATATTTAATACACTTTTTACTTGCATTATTATTGATGAATGTTATGTATATTCTTGCTTATATTGTTTGTGTTGATCTCTTAATTTTTCCCGCAAAATAAAAATTTCATTTAAAAAACTCGATGTCGAGTTGGTCCGCTAGTTATGAATAAAATATATGGTAGAATACTAAAAGACCCAATAGATTTGACTACAGTCAATACGAAGAAGAACGATGTTGGTTTAGATGTACAGATAATATAATATATTATCTGTACATTATATAATTACATATTATGTAATAATGATTTTTCTATGTAATTAGTTATACTCTCACCAAGACGTTAGATCACATTCACAGGAAAAATCAAAAACTTTCTCACTAATCGTTTTACAATAACCAAATGGTTTAGATAGGAATGCTGCGATTTTCCAAACTTTTTTAAACTCTAGTTGTGATATCTCCCAAGGTTGGAATAGTAAACTACAGATTGGGGATTGGGAGGAATTTACGTGTTGGTTTAGAAGAAAACTAGGCTCAACTTGTCGATAAAAATAACCAGGAAGTAAAAACGTTCCAAGACTTTAAGTATTTGGGGGTCATCATTATCATTATCATCCAGCCTTCATTTATCACGTCCACTGCTGAACATAGGCCTTCCTTAAACTCTTCCATTCTTTGCGATTGTGTGCTGCATGTTGCCAATTTTTTGTGATACGCCTGCTGTCGTCAGCCCAACGTGTAGGTGGTTTTCCTCTACTATGTTTGTCTGCTCTTGGCCTTCAATGTGTAATTTTACTCGTTCATCGTGAGTCATGCATTCTCGTTACATGGCCTACCCAATGCCATTTAGGTTCCGCTATGCGTTCCACAACATCAGCAATACTTGTCCTTCTTCGCAGATCTTCGTTTCTTATTTGATCCCGCAACGTCACTCCCAGCATAGATCGTTCCATTCGTCTCTGTGCCACCCTCAATTTCAAAGCAGTAGTCTTGGTTAGAGTCATAGTTCCGCCCTATAGGTCATGACCGGTAATACGCATTGGTAAAATATAAATTTTTTTGAGGCTAATTGGTATGCTGGACCTAAGTGTGTCTCGCAGTTTTCCAAAGGCTACCCACGCTAAAGTAATTCGTCTTTGGATTTCGCATGTTTGGTTATCCCTGCTAATTCTTATTTCGTGATCCAAATAAGTATATTTCTTTACCAGTTCCACCACTTCGTTTTGAAAAGTGAAATGGTTATTGTGGACCATATTTGTCATAAACTTAGTTTTCGACAAGTTCATTCTGAGGTCCACCTTCGAACATGCAAAATCCAATTCATTTAACTTATTTGTGGCTTCTCCTTAATTATCTGTGATAAGGATAACGTCATCTGCGAAACAGAGATGGTTAAGATTTTTGCGATTTTTGGTTTGTTACTCCTCTGTGCTCCCAATTGACCATCTTAAGGGAAAACTCTAATGCCATTATGAATAATTTCGATGAAAATGTATCTCCTTGCCTTATTCCACGTTTAATTTTTATTGGTCAGGTTTTATCGTGTATCTTAACAGTCATAGTGGCATTTTTGTAAATATTATAATATAAACCTATGGTTAATCCTGCTTTCATTCATTGCTTCTATAAGGCTGTCTATTTCGATCGTGTCGAACGCTTGATGAAAATATATGAAAGTGAGGACAAGAGGTTTGTTGTATTCTATAGATTTTTCAATGAGCGTCTTGACTGTATGGAGGTGATCATAGGTATCATAATTTGATCGGAATCCTGCCCGCTCTCTTGGTTAGTAGAAATCTAATTTTCTCTCCAATCTTAATGTCACTCACCTAGTAAAGAGCTGGTATATGTGGTTCAACAGGCTAATAGGTCTATAATTCTCTAGGTCCGTTCTATCTCTTTTTTTATGTAAAAGGATGGTTATAACATTGTTCCATTCTTTGAGCACCCCTCTTTGCTGCAAAATTAGATTAAACAGTTTCCTTAATTGATTTAATTGCATATCTCCTCCATTTACGATAGCTTCTATTACAACTCCATTCTCTCCTGGGGCTTTGTTATTTTTCATTTTCTTAACGCTTGTCGAATCTTCTCTACATTTATTTCTGGTATTATTTCGGAACCTTGATTCATGATCTTCTTCGCGTCTCTACGTGATATTATTTTATTCTGCTTGTTTCTTAATTTATGAATTTCGCATTTCCTATTAGTTAGCTTTCTACGTAGAACTTTTAACCTGTTATTTTTCTATATAGTATGTTTAATATTATTGGTTTTAAATTTTCTTAAATCTCTCCTGATTGCCTTCAAAACAGTTGTATTTATTTCTCTTAGAGTGTGGTTGTCTGCATTCTCATCGCTTCTCATTTGTCGGTAACATTTGATAATACTTGAACCGATTATAGGAAAATTAAACCCAAAATTGTATAAGAAGCAAAGCAGCAAATAATATCTTTGAGGTTATAAGTATAACCTCATGGGACAATTAAATGGAACAAAAATATGGAGACGTACAGAAAATTTAAAAAAAATCTCTAATTAGTGGAAACGGATACAGTAAGAATATTAATACAGATATCAAAAAGATATAAAATAGGCAATGAGGATATTAGAAGGCATAATGTGGTTTAAAGGAATGACCAGGATATAGAATAATAATAGAATATATAGAGAAGGATATAGAAAGAAAACAGTTGATCTGGTCCGGAGGTCCGGGTACGAAGATCAAATCAATGGTGAGAGGCTCCCAAAACAATATCTGGAATAGCAACCCCCTAAATATAGCAAGCCGGAGAAACCGAAAGTTAGTTGAACATCCATTATCTGCGAACAAATAAGTACAAGAAACATGGAGTCTGAGAATCTCAAAATTTGTGAATAGACTATGTATATGATATCTTTATATTTTAAATGTGTGTGTGCAGAGGTTTGGCTTCGGACTACGTTTATTAGCCACAGATAATATTAAAGACTTGACTACCTTTGACGTGACTTTCGCAAAATTTTTGAAGCAATTTTTACACTCAAAAAGGGGCTGGAATTCATATTGAATTTTAATTCTAGTAATAACTAATTGTGGAAGAATATGATTCGGAAAGAGAAAAGATCAGATGAGGAATGCTATTTCTTATCATAATAGTGATTGTTATGAGCACTAGTTATATTTTTATATAAAGTTTTTCATTTATCCCTTACATCTTTCTTTGTACGTAAAAAGAAATCATTGTTACATTGAATCGTTGTTTCTATATATTTTTATTAATTTTTTTTAACATTTTAAAAAAGAAAATTTTTATTTCAGCGCCATTTGAGTGCTTTTAGAGATGCTATGGTATATGATGGAGTAAAAATAATTGGTTACAGTCATTGGTCTTTAATGGACAATATGGAATGGAATTCGGGCTACACGTAAGTATACACAAGAAATTTTTTAAATATAAATTTGGGCAGGTACAAAATCGTATACAAAAAAACCTCTAGCTAGTGCTATTATCATCCAATCTGTTTTTTAAGATCGTGTCTCCATCTAAATAAAAGTCTTCTTTTTCTTTATCTGTGTTATTGTGATCAACAACATACAGTAGTCGCTCTTTATAACGATTCTCTATATAACTATAATAAAATTCCTCTATAACGATGAAAATAGTAAACGTTGTTTGGTCCGTCATAAGAACAATGTATTAATTCTTTCTCTATACCGATATCGTTCTCTCTTTATAGCGATGATTTCAGCGTTCAATAGTCGATGACAAATGTGTTATTTTATTTAAAGTTCAGCCTACCTCAGTCACAAGTGGCAAGGTCATTGTCCAGCGGTTGTTTACTTTTGCGAGTTGTGTCTTAGTCAGTCAATATGTTTTCGAAAAAGCCTAAAGTGCTCTCGGTGCAGGAAAAGTTATCTATAGCTCAAGCAATTGGATGTCGGGGCTATCTCAGTTAACTGTGGCTCCGATATGGAAGAACAGAAAAAAGTGGCTTGAAGCGGAGATGAAGGGCGGTAGCAGGAAGAAGTTGCGGAAATCTCAGTAGCAGCGTATGAATCCATCACTTTCTGGGCTGGACAAAAGCTGAGTTCTTTGCAACTGAGCTTAGAATTGAGAATTTCAAGGCATCTAAGGGTTGGCTGAGCCAGTGGAAACTGCGGCATAAGATCTACAACTACGGGCAAATCAGCGGAGAAGCTCGCGATGGTAAGGGATGATTGGCTAGAAAACGTGTGGCCTGGACTAAAGGCACGATATGCGTCAGACAACATTTTCAATGCTGATGAGACTGGATTCTTTTCTAAAATGACATTAAACACACACACACACACACACACACAAACCCACGTTACTTTAAAAACATAAAAAATCTACGGGTGACCTATAAAGCAAACACGAGTGTGTGGATGACTGCGGAAATTTTTGAAGAAACGATAATAAAGTGGGATAATAAAGAGCTTAAAGGGAAAACATTCTTCTGCTTGTGGGCAATTGTTCTGCTCATCCTGTACTGTGCGACCTTCAAAACATTCAACTTTGTTTTCTTCCAAACACAACGAGTGTCCTTCAGCCCATGGACCAAAGTGTCATCAAGAGTTTGACAAGCCATTACACGAGAAGACTTGATGGAATTGGTTGAGAATAATGACGATCTTAAACAAAACATTTTTGACGCCATCCTAATGGTTAGTAAATCTTGGGACGAGGTGACGAGCAATACAATAAAACATTCCTTCAAACACGTAGGATGGTTGGAAGATCAAGGATTGACTGATGATGAAGATGACCTGCCATTAGATGTTTGGACCAGGCAGTTTGAACTTACTACCACCTACGGACCGGAAGAGCTAAACAGATTTTGAAGAATACAGTGACCCGGAAGTGGAGGCAGAGCCAAAACCAGCTCCGAGCCCTCAGCAGGAAACCAACCTCACTCTCAAATTTCTATAAAGTAGCGGGTTTTGCAGAACCCTCAACACGAAGAGCCGTTGCAGAGCACATAGAGAAAATTAAACAGATCGCGGACGAGCGGCATGCCCTATACTAGGCCCAAACACCACGACAGCAACTAAAATCCAGGAAAAGATTCCTTGGAACAGTGCAGGATAAATCGCCTGAGTATATTTGTCTTCCCCAGGTTGAATGGACCGGCCAGTCCCTAGACTTTAAAACTTGGAAAACTATAAATAGGATAAGAACAGGAGGGGTCGCCCAGTAAAATCAAACATGGTAAAATGGGGGAAAATAGACCAAGATAATGTGAACTGTGACTGTGGAGAAGCACAGAATATGGAACATCTTCTGACATGAAGGAACATGCAGAAATTTATGGCTCGCCAACAAAGATGGAACCGACGTAGACCGATAATGGGTCGAAATTTTATGAATGACATGAATGTCCGGACACGATAAAAAAAGCAGGCATTGAATGCGGCAAAAGTACTGCATCGATTCTTCATCCACCAAGAAGACGATATGAGTGCTGTGGAAGATTCTATGTGTCTTTAGGACATGGTCAGGTCAGTTCTGTGGAAAGGGAAAAGGACAAAGACCAAGGTCACAGACTTTTTTGGTAATGTAGGCTAAATATATTTTACAGTAGTGTATTATTTTGTTAATGTACAGTACACCTGTTTTAATTGTACAGTCTTCTTTAATAAATCTATGTGGTGTACAATACAGTGTTAATTCATTTATATTCGTTTTGATAAATTTTTTAAATTAAAATAGGTTATTTAGGACAGTATTATTAATATTACAGTACCGAATTTTGTCTCTCTCTGTATAACGATCTCTCCTTATAACGATGAAAATTCCTAATCCCTTGCATATCGTTATAGAGAGAGAGGACTGTATATGCCTAGTCCTTATTAAAATAGAAAATAAACAGGAATCATGAAGACAACAGAGAAGGAAGGTACGTCCACTATCCAAACGACCATACATAAGCTCTGTTAGACTTTCTTCAGAAACAAACACCTGTCTTTTGTTTTCCGGTGTAGACCTTAAATGACCAAGTATACTCTCCTTTAGCATAGTTTGAACACCTTTATACCATAGTAACATAGTTTGTTTAGTAAGAAAAGTCTGAGAAACAACGTTGCTTTCGTCAATACAGACGATGTCTGCTAGACAGTCTGCTAGATATGCAGATTCAAATTCATTTTGAAGACAATTAGGAATATCTGAGAGTTTATACAGCCTATCTCCTTAATGTATACCTATGAGCTTCTTTATCATAAGTATACAATATGCCCAACTTCAAATCTATTTCTGGTTATGCTTTTGGGTACTGAGTTTTGAAATAAGTTATTTGTGTACCAATATTCTCAATATTCACAATAGTTATTTGTGTAACTTGACTTGTAAGAAGACCCATACTAGAAGAATCCACATTAAACGCCCAAAAACTTGCACAGTTTGATCGAAGTTGTTTCGATTCATTACAAGAACGTTTTATTATTTTATATTTATTGATCATTTTTGTTTTGTATTTAATATTTTTTTTTAAAGGAAGATGGAATTCTACGCACTCAACCAAAGCGTCTTTATTGTTATTTATTAAGTTATTAAAATTATTTAAACAGATACAGTTAACTAACGAAAGTTCATCCTAGACAATCCTATATTAGACATATAGAGTCAAACGGTGAATAAACATAATGAAATAATCATTTTTTTTTTGGTTGGTGCGCAAAATTACCCATTTATATAGGTAATTTTACGCAGTGTATCGAGAAATTTTACGCACATTATAAAAATTATACAGTTATATATTAATAGTTATTAGAGTTAATAATTACAAAACATTTTATAACTTGAACTGGGTATTTATTCAACACATATGCCACATAATATATAGTCCGAACTTTCTCTCGCAGTGAAAGGGGCATAGGCCCAACCCAAACAAGAGTCACAATGATACCACAATTTTCTTTTGTTAGAGTACACTCAATTTTGGGAGCAAATCTTTAACATATTGTGTTGGCAACAATGACAGCAAGTTCCTGTCTTCAGTAACAACTGTCGTGTGTCATAAGAAAATAAAATAAGTCAAGTGTCAAAAACTGTATGGCGCCTTTTTATGTCTGTAACATTACGCCTGATATAAAATAAAATAAATTCTTAACACATTTTCCAAACATTATTTAAAGAATCTAACATTGGTTATGGGCCCAGAAAGAGTAATGTGTTAAAAAGTTTATTTTCAGTGTGAATCTTGTGAGGTTAAGTTTCTGAAAAATAAGTTCTGCCGGTAGGCGTTGGCGTGGTGTGTGAAAATAATAAAAAATAAAATAAAGTTAATAAGTATGGGAAATCGACACGGAATTATTCCTTTCAATGGAAGTGGATTTGATAATTGGAAATTTCGTCTGTATTCTGTGTTAACAGCAATGGAGTTAAATGCTGTCTTACATGAGGTACCGGTAGTACCCGAGATGATGATTGGAATAAGAAAAATCTTAAAGCCTGTATGGTGATAATTCAAAGTGTGGCAGACTCTTACTTAGAGTATGTAAAAGAAACAGAAGTCGCCGTTGAAATGATAATCAAATTAGAAGTCATTTTTAGCAAGAAAGGTATGTGCTCTAAATTTTATTTACTGAAGGAAATAATAAATCTAAAATATATCTATGGTACTGATTTGCAAGAACATTTTACAAAGTATGATCGTATTTTTCGAGAGCTTAAAAGTCTGGGGAGCTATTTTGAAGAGTCAGATATTGCATGTTTTTTGTTGCTATCCATGCCACATGATTTTGAGGGGATAGTCACAGCTATACAAACTTTATCCGAAGCAGACCTAAAGGTTGAATTTGTAAAGAGCAGGCTATTAGAATTTAGCTTAAATAAAAATAAAAATGTAACTAAAGTTATGCCATCATCATTTAGTGTGACTCAAAAAGGTGTTAAATGCTTTAAATGCGGTAAGATGTGCCATTTAAAGAATGTTTGTGGTATAAAATGTCATACATATAACAAAATAGGACACAAATTAAAAAACTGCTATCTGAATAAAAGCAGACAAAATCAACTTAACAATAGGGCAAATTTAGCTGAAGAGTTATGTAATAATCCAACCATTAACCAGATCTTTACACTACGACAGATCCTCGAAAAAGCGCAAGAGTTTAACATAGATATGTATCATATTTTTGTCGATTTTAAAGCGGCATATGACAGTGTCTTAAGACCAAGTCTTTACAATGCTTTGAATGAGTTAGGAATTCCAAAAAAACTCATATGTTTGATAAAAGTGACAATGGCGAAGATGCTATCAGCAGTAAAAATTCAAAACGACTCGTCAACCCCATTTCAAATACATAGGGGGTTAAGGCAGGGAGATGCGCTGGCGTGTCAGCTTTTTAATGTCGCCTTAGAAAAAGTTGTACGAGACGCTAATTTAGATAGCAGGGGAACAATATTTAATAGATCAGTCGAAATTCTAGCATATGCAGACGACGTGGACATTATAACAAGAACTAGGGCGAGAACTGCGGAAATCCTAACGGAGCTAGTAGCAGCAGCAGAACGAATGGGGTTACATATAAATCAAAATAAAACCAAATTCATGGCGACTAACACAAACACAAGAGCTGGAAATGTTGACACAAATTTAATCATCGATGACCAAACTTTCGAAGCAGTCAATGAGTTCATATATCTAGGGACATCGGTTAACCCCAATAATAATACATCTGAGGAAATAAAAAGGCGAATAATAATTGCAAACAGGTGTTATTATGGTCTATCAAAGTACTTAGCTAACAAACGCCTGTCTCAAAAAACTCGTATAAGGCTGTATAGAACACTGATAGTCCCCGTTCTCACATACGGATCAGAGGCATGGACGCTAACGAAAACAGATGAATCCGCTCTATCCATTTTTGAAAGAAAGGTGCTACGCAAGATATTTGGAGCGGTCTGTGAGAACGGAATATGGAGGCGTAGATATAACTTTCGAACTGCAGAATATCTACAAGCATACGTTTGGTGGTAAAGATATTACCACTATAATTAAGCGAAACCGCCTGCAGTGGGCAGGACATGTAGCCCGGGCCCCTGAATCGAACATGATAAAAAAGATTCTAACAGCGCAACCTGTGGGAATGAGACGACGGGGTAGACCAAAGCTGAGGTGGATGGATGGGGTAACACAAGATGCGGAGAAGATCGGAGTCGGCAACTGGAAAATTCAAGCAAGGGACAGAACAGAATGGCGTAGAAAGCTTGAGAAGGTCGAGGCCCTCTAAGGGCTGTAGCACCAAGATGATGATGATGATGTTATGTAATAATCAAAGTAGTGATATTCAGACATCATCGCAATCTGTTGCATTCTGTGCTTCAAGTGAGTATTTGTATGAGTATACACATCATTATATTAATGATAGCTCAAACCTAATAAACAAAAGACACTTTGTGGAGCCAAGGTCAATACAGTTAGCAGAAAAAGGAAAGTTGATGGAGGCAACCTGTGTCGGGGACTTAAAAGTGATAAGTGAAGTTAATAACAAAGAAGCTGTTATTACTATTAAAAATGTGCTGTGTATACCTGGTTTACGAGCAAATTTGTTATCAATATCAACAATTGAAAAAGCTGGTTTTGAAATAAAATGTTTTAATAATAAAATTGTCATTAAAAGAGATAATCTATATAAAATCATTTTTTAGCAATGTAATTCTGAGTATGCAAACTTAGCTCTTGGTAATGAAAAAGATCTTTGGCATCAAAGGTATGACCATTTAAATTATAATTCATTGTTACAAATAAAAAATAATAATTTGGTTAATGGCATGTAGTTTTCAAGTTCAGAAAATAATGGGTTGTGTGATATCTGTGTAAAAAGCAAACAAAAGTGCTTGCCATATTTTTCAAAAAGTAAAAAATTAAGTTCTGGAGTTCTGCAAATGATACATGCCGATATTTGCGGTCCTATTACACCAGTATCACATAATGGTAATAGTTATTTTGTAACTTTTGTAGATGATTACTCAAGGTTTGTCTTGGTGTATGTAATTAAACATAAAAATGAGGTATTTAACTGTATAAAAGATTATGAAGCAAAGGAAACATCTTTGTTTTGTGGCAAGAAAATTGCTAAAATAAAATGTGATAATGGAGGTAAGTATAGATCAAAAGGTTTTGTAGAATTTTGTTCACAAAAAGGGTATTCAAATTTTATCTATTCCACCATAAATTCCACAACTCAATGGTGTAGCAGAAAGAAGGAACCAAACATTGATGGATAGAGCAAGATCAATGATTAATCACGCAAATATAGACATATTCTGGGAAGAGGCAGTGCTTGTATCAGCCTTTATAAGCAACATAACACAATCATGTTTGAATAAAGAAAAAACTCCTTATGAGTTATGGCTAAATAAGAGGCCAAATGTTAGCAATATGCAAGTTGTTGGATGTATAGATTATGCAAGAATTCCAGATTCTCTTAAAACAAAACTGGATGATAAAGGTTTGAAATGCAGATTTATCGGCTATACTGAAAATGGATATAAACTATGGAACGAAAATGAAAATAAATTTGTTTACAGTAGAAATGTCATATTTGATGAGAACAATTTTAAATATTTTCCAAATAGGAAACAAACATGATTGGGAAAATGTTAAAGTCATCAGAGATGAAGTTGCAAAAGGGAAGATAGAAGAGACAAATGAAATAATAGAAACAGAATATGTTTTATAAGATATGGAGCAAAATGCTAGATCAAAAAGACAAACTAGATTACCTGTTAAATTCGTTGACTATGAAATGGACATAAGCTGTTTGGCATTACTGAGTGAGTACTCAGATGTTCCTCAATCATACTATCAAGCACAACAAAGTTCAAATTGGAATAATTGGGAAAATGATACTGATGATGAACTCAATGCTTTAAAAGATAATAATACATGGGAATTGGTAAGAAAAACCAGAAAAAGAAAATGTTATTGGAAACAGATGGGTACTTAGAATCAAAGATGATGAAAAAGGAAAATGTTTATATAAAACAAGATTAGTTGCTAGAGGATTTGAACAACATGATTTTGGTGAGTTTGGTCAAATTCATGCTCCAGTTGCAATAATATAATTTGGAATTAGAACACCTGGATGTTAAAAATGCCTTTTTCCATAGTAATATTAAAGAAAAACTTTTAATGAAAATTCCAGAAGAATTAAAAGTATCAGAAGAGGACAGAAATAAGGTTTGTCTGTTAAAACGGGCAATCTATGGTTTAAAACAAGCTCCAAAGGCATAGCATGAAACATTGAATGGTTTTATGTTAAATTTAAAGTTTAAAAGATTAAAATCTGATTACTGTTTATACAGTTTTCTTGATCAAAATGTAAGATGTTATCTTCTTCTGCATGTTGACGATATCTTAATTGCTTGTAACAATATTGAAGTTTCAATTATCTTGAAGGCGAAACTCTGTGAAACATTTAAAATTAAAAAAATAATCAATGACAGATTTAACTTTTTAGGCATTAGAATTATTAGAGATTTAAAAAATGGGACTATTTGTATAGATCAGATATCTGCTATAATATATCTTCTATCTATATATCAGAATTCAAATTTAAAAAGAAATGTTGGAGAAAATAAAATGACAAAATTACCTTATAAGGAACTACTAGGAAATCTTATGTATGTAATGATGTGAACAAGACCAGATATATGTTTTAGTATTAGCTATTTTGGTTTGTTTCAAGACTGAGCAACAGATGAACATTTTAAACATCTTTTAAGAGTTCTAAAATATCTAAAAACTACTGTCAGTTATAAGTTGTATTTTTACCGTACTTCTGATAACTTGGTAGCTTATACAGATGCTGACTGGGCTAATAATGCTATTGATACAAAATCAATAAGTGGATACTGTTTTAAAATATTTGGTAATTTAATTTCTTGGAGTTCCAAAAAACAAACATTTGTAACTTTATCAAGCACGAAATCAGAGTTTGTAGCAGTTTTCACAGCATCATGTAAATTTTTATTATTAAAAATTTGTTGTCAGATTTAGAAATTAATATACAATTGCCAGTTTGTTTGTTTGAAGACAACCAAAGCACTATTAAATTAGTTCACAACTTTGAGAATAACAGGAGATGCAAACATATAGATGTTAAACTGCATTTTGTGTTGGACTTAGTAAATAGTAACATGTTAAAAAAGCTTTAAGTAGTGAAAATTTTTCTAAATTTTCAAAATGTTAAATTTAGTAGTTTAGTTTAGAGTTTTTATTTCACATGGTAGCATTTTACAGGTTTGAGGGAGGGTGTTAGAGTACACTCAATTTTGGGAGCAAACCTTTTAAATGTTGTGTTGGCAACAATGACAGCAAGTTCCTGTTTTTAGTAACAACTGTCGTATGTCATACGGAAATCAAATAACTCAAGTGTCAAAAAATGTATGGCGCCTTTTTATGTCTGTAACATTACGCCTAATATAAAATAAAATTAATTCTTAACACATTTTCCAAACATTATTTAAAGAACCTAACATCTTTCCTTGTCTGGGCTAGTCGGATTCACATCGTCTAGTTCATTGTCATCACAAATGGGTCGAAAGGATAAATACCAGCTTATCCAAAGTCAGCAGTCCCTTTCTTCATTGTAGCAACTTTAAGCTAGACTTTGTTAAAAATCTTAAATCTTTGTTAAAACTCAAAAAAACACCAAACTAAGTAAAAAAACGATATAATCCCGTATATAAACACAATATAATTAATACTAAAATATTGGCAATAAATATCACGGTCTTAGTAGTCCAAAAAATATATATTCAGATTTTTATATTTTTATAACAATAAATTATCAATCTATCAACTGTATTTTAACATATAAAAATTATTTGTTTTAGTGTGAAGTTTGGTCTATACAGCATTGACTTTAAAAATGACGCCAATTTAACCAGAGTGAGAAAAGAATCTTCATATTATTATGAAAAAGTAATTAGAACCGGTTGTTTAGTAGATGAATGTGTAGATTAGATTGCAATATAAGCGAATAAAGAGCCACATCTAAAGCAGCCACTGTTTTTTTTTCGTAAATTTTTATTATACAATTTTTATAATATAATATAATATAATATAATATAATATAATATAATATAATATAATATAATATAATATAATATAATATAATATAATATAATATAATATAATATAATATAATATAATATAATATAATATAATATAATATAATATAATATAATATAATATAATATAATATAATATAATATAATATAATATAATATAATATAATATAATATAATATAATATAAATATATTATAATATAATATATAAAAGTAGTTTGTAATTTATAATAAATCATTAATAAGCTAATTGTTATAAATCAATAACCATGTAGTTTATAACCTACCTACCACTTTTGCAAACAAAATTTGGATTCACGGGATTACTTTGGTATTTTGTGTTGCTTAACTTTAGGGGTCTACAATATTATCTTGGTTATAATAAGCTTAAGCCATAAAAATGAAATTTTTCAAAGAGGGCGAAAAACTTGTAGCTTTATTCTAAAAAAGGATAATGAGTTCTAACCTAATAGCACATGTACGTCCAGTGGACGTCCATAGTACGTCCCTCACGAACTGTAGGGACGTCCCTCGAACGTCCGCTTTGGTCCTATTTACGTCCTATACTTGTCCGCTCGGGACGTAAAATGGACGTACCGGGACGTTAATTGGACCTTAATCGGACGTCCATAATACGTCCAGAGGACTTACTTGACGGACTTTTGTGATGTTTTCGGACATCTATTTTAGCGCTGAGGATGTAAATTAGACGTCAACGCCATTGTATAAAGTACTAAAAGTGGTGTCATCCTGTGCATATTAAGAATGTATTTTGGGAAATAAAACGTAAATGTTTAAATAAACTTACATTTATTATTACATTTATTTATATTTATTTATTATTAACAAACGGGACAAATCCACTGTCAAAATTATGCAAAAATGTAACATTATAGAAATATAAAATAATTTTGTGTAATAAAACATAAATGTTTAAAGGAACTAACATTTATTATTACATATATTTATTTATTAATAACAAATGGAACAAATTCACTGTCAAAATTATACAAAAATGCAACATTATAGAAATATAGACAAAATTACAGATAAAATAAAATATACATGAATAAAATAAATAAGTACACATTTATAATAAGTTTTATTATAAATCTAATCAACATAAAAATGGTTTTTAATGCAATTATAACATAATAAGTGTAAATTAGTAGAAGTTGAACGACTAGACAGTAAGTAAACCACCCTGGCCAGTATGAAGCTAATTCTTTAGGAATAGCATAAAGAATTTTAATGGAACGAATATTAGGAATCAATGAGTTAGGGATAAAATCAATAAATAAATTGTGATGAAAAGTGACCCTCAGTCAGAGATTTATAAAAAATAAGCCATAGATGCCTTCATAAAAAGAATGCACAATTCGTTAAAAATAAGTTAAGATATTATGTCTGGACCAAGACCTTTATTGGTATTAAGACACTGTAAGCATGCGTCACAAATTTTAATAGTTAAAAGAGTGAATATGGCTGTGACTGATATGGGCTCTTTGACTACACTTGTCTACACAAGAGAAAGAAGGATTGTGAATACTGGTAAAGAAATTGACAAAATTGTTGAAATTGTGGTTTTCAACAGAACCATTCAACTTCCCTTATCTCTTCCCATTCTGATTTCGCTTACAATTGTGTGATCAGCAATTAAAAGCAGACAAGTCAATTGTTGAGTTTTAAAGTTGAAATCATAAGTATGAAAAAGATCAATACCTAATATGGAACTTTGTCTGTTTTCTTTCAACAGTAGAATAATTTTTAGGTATTTATTTTTAATATATAAAACAGTCTCAAAAATTGGACTGTTTCTTTCTGTCCACGAACCACACAATTTAATCATTACAAAATTATTTGCTAATGCAACATGCAAGTTAAATTTTATCTGCCCTCTCTTTAAATATTTCCTCAGATATTTCATTATCCTGTTTCAACTTCCTTCCCCATGGCAACGCTGGTTTTGGAGTTTTTCCAAGCAACATCTGAAAACAAAATTAATGTACATTCATAAATTGAACAAACTAATTTCAGATTTAGTTCATTATACTTTGCTTCTTGTGAATAAATCATAATTCAAAGTCAAATTAAACACACGAATTTCAAGTGCTGTAGTTTTAAAGAATCTTACCTGAATTAGAAGAATACCAACCCAACCATTGGTATTTATGTCTAATGACCAAATGAGCAGTAATTACACTTTTATACGTAAAAAATAAAAATAACTGTATAAATAAAATATATGGCCAACAACAAATTTTTATCTCATAAGCTAGCTGTAGTTCTTAAAGCAATCTCATAGCCAGACCTGAACATTCATGAGTTGGTAAAATTTGCATCTAAATTACATATAAGACACAGTTAACAATATGCTTCATCGGCTGTATGTGGCCATTTAAGTGATAGTGTAAATTCTTAAATGTACCTTAAATTGATTTATGTTTACAAGTTACAAACCTTTTAAAATCAGAGCTATATGTGTGTCCTCAAAAGCTTTATATTGCTTTTTCTCTAGCCAACTATCTTCTCCTTGAATTTTATTCCAGATCAGCTTCTTATGGCTTCTCCTAACAAATTCATTTATGGTCTCCTCACCAATTTTGGAAAGCTCATTATCCTTAAATATAAATCAAAATGTAACAGTAATCTAACTACCCCACAAACTTGATTACCCATGCTTAATTATTTTAGCTTAAACTATCTGATAAAAAACAGCCTCTGTTACAAAATCAATCAAACATTCATTTGCAAATTTTGGTTTCTCATAACCATGGTAAATGCCTATTAAATCTACAATTTTAGGATATATAAACAGATTACACAAGATAGGATATAACTGACTACTAAAACTCTTTTTTTAGTGGGATTCCATCAAAATGTATACAAATTTCTATAACATTGTTTTTTTGTGAAGATAAAAATACCATTGAAATTTAGATCATATGGATCAGAGTATTTGTTCTCTGGGTGAAGCGAAGCAAGAAGGGTTCTAGCATTTGAACTCAAATGAGAAAGGTCAGGAACTTCTTTATGAATTTTTAATAAATCACCTACATAAGGAATTGGACAAACCTCGATGCCCATGCACTTTTTAGAGCCACACAAGATCGAGAGGAGTATGCTAGAATTGTCGCCAACATCCACTAATTGGATAGGCCACCATAAGAAGAAGAATAAATCACCTAGTATTAAAGAACAACGTCCAGTTAAATAACTTATTAGAAAAATTAAAAACATCTCGATAAGGTTCTCCAGAATTCTGGTTACAACCATGTTTAGATCCTTCTTCAGTTTCATTGAAAGGAGAGTTTTGTAAAGGATCACCGGAATGGTTGTCCACGTGGTGTAAAAAGTTTAAATCGGAAGTATTGTAACCTCAACTATTTGAACTGAAACTCTCATCAAAATGATCAGTTAGGGATTCCGAATAAAGGTTTGAAGGAGATGGAATATGGAGGTTATTAATATTTTCAACAATATTCTCTACGTCTTTCGTAACCTTCCTCTGTTGATGACGCGTTTTCTTCGAAAATCGTTTTCTTTTAAACATAATAAGTAAAAATTAAACTTACCTTTTTGTGATAAAATAAAACCAATTTCTGAAGTATAACCTAACACGTTGTACCAAACCTTTAACAATATACCATAATCACAAAGCCAAGCATTAAAAAACCAATGTACTGTATACTGCTTAAATAGAATTCTTTTATTTCGTTTATTAAAGCATTAATAATATATTTAAACTGTGCCATTTATTTAAATAGGTATGGTATGACAGACAATGACAATTAACATCATCATCATTATTTTGTTCAGCCAGAGTATTCTTCTTTTTCAAGTTCCACTCCTATCGGAGATTGGAAATCATTCTGGCAATTATAATTTTATTGGTTACTCGCCTGAATAGTTCAATTGAACTGCATCCCAACCATTCACGGAGATTGCGTAGCCACGAGATTTTACGTATTCCTACGCTTCTTCTACCTTTGATTTTACCCTGCCTTATATTCCTTAGTAGTTCGTACTTTTCGTACTTTTAAGCATTCCGTTTTATTGATATGGTAAAAAAAAACAAAAACTCTTTTTACTTTGGTTTAAAACGCCAATGTTTTATTGTTCCATGACAGAAGTAGTTGTTTGTGCTATAGTCGTTTGAATTTCATTAACCGCAAGCCAGAAAAATGGTTCATTTAACAGAAATGCACAAAATTATAATTATACAGATGATTGGCTATGGAGATAAGACACGAACGCAAATGGAAGTAGGTAGTTTATTTCACGCATTACCTGATTTGGAAAGTGGAGAAGCAATTCCACGAGCTGGGCCATGTTAGGAAGGTAAAAAAAGAAGGTGCTAATGCAATAAGTCATGATACCAAATTGGCTGTTATGCTTGAGTTTAAGGAACACCCACATACATATGTTCGAAAAGCAGCCCCAGTACTCGATATTAGCTATTCATCGGTTTATTCGAATATTACAAGAAAACAAAATGCATCCCTATAAAATTATACACACTGAGGAGCTCATGGAAGATGATTTTGACAAAAGAACGTATTTTTGTTAACACATAATGAGACAGCAATGTGATACAATTAGAACATATTGTGTTTTCTGATGAGTGCACCTTTACTCTTCACGGTCATGCTAATCGGCAAAATTGCCACTATTAGTCCAGGGAAAATCCTCACTGGACGAAAGAAGGCAATACTCAATACTCTGAGAAGGTTACCGTGTGAACAGGAATTATTAAAGATCAGATCATAGATCCCTTTTTCATAGACGGCAATTTGAATTGCGACAATTATTTAGCGTTGCTCCAAAATAATGTAGTGCCAACGTTGGCCAACTTGTATTGTGATCCAAGAAAGACAGAAGTTTATACGAATATAATATGGTTTCAACAAGATCCCCACTACCAAATCCAAGTCCGGCAGTACCTCAACCAAATATTTCCAAATTTAGAGAACGGCCACCACGATTTCCCGATTTGAC